TGGGTACAATCAATCAGAGTACATAATGTTTTACATGTTCTGGGTTTTGATGGTTCATTGGGGTATAGGAAAAAACACACACACACTAAAATCTCCAGTCTGGAGTGCTTTTAATAGAGCATCAAGTAGTGGCTCCTTTATGATCCCTTTATGAGAAATATAATACCTGCATGGAGAAGTCAGATTGAGAGTGCTGATTGAAGTGGTTACATGTTTCCTGCACTTTTGTATTATTTCTCAGAGCAGCCAATCACTCATCAGGACTGCCTTACACAGAAACAGACGCCCACTCAGACCTCTCAAACATAAGTGACCAAACAAAGCGGCAAGCAAAGAGAGGGGCTTAAGTAGACTCAGCACAGGTGCAAACAATAATTAATCAGCACAGGTGTTAGCACTGATCCTAATTAACTCAAGACTGCTCAGTGGAGAAAACACAACCGGGAAGGACATTTAGTGAAAGAACACAGCGAGGCGCAAATGTTTGCTTTTCCCTGGTGTTTCTTTTTTCTTCTTTAGTGTTTCAGGTTAAACTTCAGGCTGCATGAGACAGTCCTCTCACATGGAGCTCGGTCAATATTCCTCGCAAGAAAATGAGCTTGAAGACAGCGAGACTCACAGACAGGAGTCAGGATAAGACCACATCAATCTCTTGACTGTGCAAATGTTCGTTTGAGTCTATCAGCCTCGATCCCCTTTCTGCTCAATCTATCCTTTATATTGAGTCTGGAGATGCATTCAGTGCAGCTGAAATCTACGGCATCATTGGAAGAAATGGGGCTTTAATAGACATGAATGTTACTCGAGAGAGTGACAAGAAATCAGAAAACTGTTATGAGTTACTTGGATTGGATGAACAGAGTATATTGTGTTTGCTCTGTTAATCATGCCACATGCATCACAGGTAAAACAAAGTGATCCGCAAACAGGAAGTCACGGTTTACTGCTGTGAATAGGAAATACTTGTAACTATACTGTGCATCCTCTGGGCCGCTTCTGTCATTGCTGCTGGGGTATTAGAGTCTATGCTTCAATGTGTTTTGGGTCTTCTGTAGGAAGGAAACATCTGGCAGCGGGTGTTTTCCCTCTGGAAGATGTGGTTTTTATTCCTGTGAAGTTTGTGTCGTGATGTGGAAAACTGGTCTCAGCAGGCACATCGTGCGCATTAACAGGAGGGGACAGGAAGACTCCTTCCTCCAGCTCTAAAACCTGCTGCCACATCAGACATCTGTGCCTTTCCAGACCCAAACAGTCAGCTGCAGCCATTGTCAAGAACATGAGATTAAACCCTTATTCTGTCACATGCCACTTTCCAAACTGATAACATCCTTAAAAACGCATTTCCACCATGCATTGTTATCTATCACAAATCTAATCTCTGAATACTTTGGTGTCAGCAGGAGGGAAAAAAAGTAAATCAAATCGGCTTGGTATTTTATTGCAGTACAGTAACAAATTGAGCTGAATCAAGTGTATAAGGGCAATTTTTCTTTATCTTCAATCAAAAAAGTATTCTTCATCATGATGTTCAGTTATCTTTTTATCTAGAAATCAAGGCCTAACACCACAAGAAAGTAACAGTGTAACGTAAACAACTTTATCAAGAGGATAAGCACTTTTCTTTCTTTAAAACTTTAAAGATTCAAAGGAACAATAGACACAGACATACATTACAGCTATGGCATTAGAAATGATTTTATTTCCAGGTTTAATAAGGACAGGGTTTTTTTGTTGTTGTTGTTTGGTACAAGTTGTACCATATGACAGAAACTCTCCACTAAACACAGGGATGGGTGTTTTTATTGGAATCAGTAAAAAGTGTTATATAGATGTTTTTATTGGCACTTCTCCACCAGACACCAAATTGACTCGGACTGTATTTGGAAACAAAATGTTGTACCATGTTCTTGTAACACATTTACATATTTTTGCCCCTTATCCACCTTTATGGTTGTTTTTGAATAGCAAAAGAGGAATTTCGGCACACATCTAAAGTGCATGATTCGATACAGTTTCACTCCAATAATCAAATTGAAATCAACTTGGTTGTTTGTTTTGTTTTTTCCAAACAGGAAATTCTTCCCACCCTCATATGACTTTAGCCCTGTTTTGGCCCCAGCTTAGGCCACCTACAATTATCCTATATGGGGATCTCTTCTTGATCCTTTAACATAGATATCAGAATCAGAAGTCACGATCCCAGCCAGAGAACTCCTCTTCTGCCTTCGTCTGATCATGAGGGAAGCGATCAAAGTTGATGTAGCAGGGACCCTAAAAGAGGATGAAATGTTAATGAAGCTCATAAAACAGCCTATCCCGTAATCTATTTCTAATCAGTAATATTAAACACTCTTAAATCCCCTCATTTTAACAAAATTCGGCTAGTGTGAAAAAGTACAACTCTCCAAATAACACCCACATAGTCCCAATGAAGCAGATTCAACATTTTTGGGGAGTTGATCATTTATTTTAAAGAAGCATTTACTTTTGAATGAAGCATTTAGTAAAATATTTTTAAATGTTCATTTGAAAGAATAATCCTACAGGTTTTTTTTTTTTTTATCTTAACACATGACTAGGAAGAGGATGAGGACAAGAAGAGCAAGAAACTGGAGCAACTACGATAGGCTAATTTTCTTTCTGGGGGCAGTAATGATATGAGGGTGAAAAAATTAGGGTTTTTTTTTCATTTGGACTTTCTATTTTTTCATGTTCATGCAGTGTGTAATAACCTTTCAGACCCAGGTTTTGTTAATATAGTCTGAATACACAGTGGGTTTCATGTATCAAAAAGTAGCCGTAGCAGTAGCCACTGCGAAAACCAGTAATATTTGTTCCACACAATCCTGCCTGCGGTCCTTCTTTTGTTTCGCTTTCTATAACATAAAAAAAGAATTCTGCTTTCCATGTAAGAGTAACACTGGATTGACTTGCCTTGCGGATAAGCCGTGCTGTGGGAGCCTCAAGCTGACCCACACGCAGCTTGTGCCAGTTCATACTGCTGAACCACCTGAAGATAAAAAGGGAGATTTTGTCATTACTATTACTATTATTATTATTAAACATGCTTTTATAATCATAAAATAATAACAAGGTAAAAAGGCTCAATCAGCAGTGTAGAAACATAATCTATAAAGACAAAATCACCATGCTGTTTTTCTGTATAAAGAACTTTAGACTGCTAATCACTTCCCTATTTTTCACATAGTATATATTTACTGTAGTAAATGTACTCACTGTATAGTAATACTGCTATAATAATTACGCAACATTGTATGTGCTATGCACTTGAGGTGAAAAGGTGAATAATGTTTATCATTACAGATTAGTAAATGTATAAAATTACTGTTGCCTGTTCAATATAGGCAAAAATGCCTTGTTGATGCCAAAGGTCAGAGGAGAACAGCTGGCCTGCTTCAAGTTAGATAGGAAGGCAACAGTAAATCAGATAACAACTGGTGACAACCAAGGTAAGCAGAAGAGCTCAGGAAACTGACATTACAATTCACACCAAAATTGGATGATGGAAGTTTGGAAAAAAGCTTTCTGCTCTCGATTTCAGATGCAACATTTGTATAGTAGATTCAGAATCTGGCATAAACAACGTGAAAGCATGGATACATCTTGGTTGTACCAGTGGTTCAGACTGGTGGTGTAGTGTAATGTACTACAGTACAGGCAGCAGTAGGTGACCAAAGAAGAGAGTGTTGCCATGGTTACCTGTGATGCCGGACATCTTTGATCCCATTTTTGGTGTTTCCTAATCTCTGACCAGGCCGAGGTCTGAAAAAATGCATCATTCAGAGAGAAGGCAGTTCAGAAACTGCTTTTGGTTTCATGAGCTTTCATTTTTCAAGAGGTGTGTATTATTACAAATATATTTCTATATAAATACAAATGCATCTAATGATGGAATGCTTTGTTTTTCAGACATGTTTGTCATTTTTCATTATTCACACTGTACTTTGAGGCACTGTGGCATTTCCAAACAAACAAACTCACCAACAAGATTTTGGGGGATTTTAAGGGGTTTTTTGGTACACCTGCTTAACTGCTTGTGAATTCTATTTCAAATCAGCCAATGATATGGAAGCAAACCAATGCATTCAGACGTGCAGTTCAAGCTGAGCATCAGAATGAGGAAGAAAGGTAATTTAAGTGACTTTGAACGTGGTTGTCGGTGCCAGACGGGCTGGTCTAAGTATTTCAGTAACTGAAAATCTACTGGGATTTTTTCCTACACATCCATCTCTAGAGTTTACAGAGAATGGTCCAAAAAAGAGAAAATATCCAGCGAACGATAGTTTCTTTTGTTAGTTTTCTTTTTCTGGCCATTTAATAATTTTGTGTTTAAACCAGGTTGTCAAACATAAGGCCCAGGGACCAGAATCGGCAAAGTTTAGAGAATTTTAAACTTTTAATCTCATCAGTTTTACAGCTTTTGATAAAGGCCTTCCCTACAGCCATCCATACTATACGTAAGTAATTAAATCCACTCTACTCTAGAAATGTCAGTTTTTACATTGAATTCACAGTCAGCAAAAACAGACAAAAACAGACATTGACAAAAACTATATTGTATACTTACGGGACAGTGTGTGCAGTGAACTACTAGATATAGTTTTCTGTAATTTTACACATTTCATTGGTCCAGCCCACTTAAGATCAAACTGTGGCCCACTATGTAGAAGTTACTTTGAAATCTCTGTTTTAAATGCTAAAGCCTACCTGACTATTAATACTTCCCATGTCCATCCCTTTAACACCTCAGTGTACCAATTTTCTCATGGCTGCTTCTTGCAAGCTAATATGCAATAATATCACAAACCTCAAATCATCTCAAACTGATTACAGTGAGTTCACTGTGCTCAAACGGCCTCCACAGGTACCAGATCTTAGTGTAAAAAGCACTTCTGAGATGTGGTGGAACAGCAGATTCACATCATGGATGTGCAGCTGACAAATCTGCAGTAACTGTGTGATGCTGTCATGCCAATATGGACCAAAATCTCTGAGGATGTTTTAAGCACCTTGTTAAATCTATGCCACAAATAAGACAAAAAGGGGTCTAATCCAGTACTAGGACGGTGTAGATAATGAAGTTGCCACTGAGTGAAATTTTCATACGATCTAATTCCATTTTTCTTTTTTCCACAATTATCAGTGACCTATATGAAAATGTAATCTATGTGCTCTCAATAAACTCAGCTGTTCTTACCTGCACAGTTTACTGATAATGGACTTGGCTGCTTCGCTCATATAAGGTGCATAATGGAGCTCCCCATCCAAAATTTTGGCATAAATCTTCTGGGGCTCTGAGCTTGAAAAGGGAGGGCTGACAATTTGAAAACAGAAAAAAAAAAAACGTGTTGTTAATAAATGTTTAATTTTTATTGAATGGTATTAAAAAGACTGAAACCTGAAATTGTGAGACACTGAGCTCTGAAAAAGCCATACAGTGCTGCTGCCATCTGCTGGTAAACATTAAGGTTATTTTATGTCTCTGTTGTTTAAAAAAAAAAAAAAGTATTATTATCATTATTATTACCTTCCCGCCAATAGTTCAAAAATCAGGATGCCAAGAGACCAAAAGTCAACTGCAAAGTCATGTCCCTGGTTCTTGATGATCTCTGGAGCCATGTACTCAGGAGTACCAACAAATGAGTAGGTTTTCTCACCCCGAACCAGCTCCTTTGCAAAACCAAAGTCAACCTGGATGATGACAAGCACCCACACAAGAATCAAATGTGATGATAAAGTCTTCATTAACTGAAATTCACATAAAAAAAAGTTTGTTTGCTTTAGAAACTTGTTTACAGGTAAAGACGCACCAGTTTGACGTAGCCCTTCGCATCCAGCATCAGGTTCTCAGGCTTTAGGTCTCTATACATGATGTTCTTCTTGTGGAGGTAAGCATAGGCCTCCACCACGCAGGCAGTGCAGAACACAGCGACAGGCTCATCAAAACGACCCCTAACATTCACAAAGATGCAATAAGTTGGACAACGGTTTTCTTAAAAGTTTCTGTAAACTTCCATCTGCTACAGCTTCTACAAAAAAGTATGTATTTTAACTTGGGAACTCCAAATATAGAGCATCATTTCACTTTTCGTCTTACACTTCTTTGAGTTTGGTCCAGATTTCTCCACCACTACAGAACTCCATCACCATGTAGATGTATCGTGTGTCTTTGAAAGCTCCATGAAGTCTAGAAACAGCGAGAGCAGAAAACATTTTCAGGTGCTCTGCGCTCAACCGATGGATTTAAAACACTGCAGTCCACATATCTTTGATACCTGACGATGAATTCACACTGCACAGCTTTAAGGATCTTCTTCTCAAACAGCATCTGCTCTTCCTGTCTCTTGGCAACAATGTGCTTCTTGCTGACTCGCTTCACGGCGTAATATTTTCCATGGGGCAGGGTGGTCATCTTAGAAGAGCAAAAACAGTCATCAGTGCTAAATATTTTACAACCCCAGTTCCAAAGAAAAATCGTGACAATGTGTGAAATGTTTAAGTTCTCATGTCAGGTAACAATGTAACAAAGTAATATGGTTGGGTATAAATTGAGCATCTTCGACAGGGAGAGATTCTCAGCAGGGTAGAGGGGCAGAGGGGCCGTTCACAAGGAGGATAGGGTTCAAGCGCTATCATGGAAAGAGTAAGCCATACAAACAACAAGATCCAAAAACACCAGTCTTCTGCAGGACAGAGCTCATTTAAAATGCATAGAGGAAAAGTGAAAAACTGTTCTGTGGTCAGACGAATCAAAATTTAAACTTCTTTTTTGGAAAACATCCTGTACTCTGGACTAAAAAGGAAACAAATTATCCAACTTTTTCAAGACACATTGCAGCCATGAAATTCAAAACAAGCTAATATTTTTTTCTGAAAGTCGTACATTTCCCTATTTTTAACTTTTGATATGTTTTGCTTCTTTTATATCGTGATTAAAATACAGGTTTGTGAGCTTTTCAAATGATTGCATTCTGCACTGCATTTCACACAGTGTCCCCACATTTTTGGAACTGGGGATTTGGATTTACTGCAAATGAGAGAAATGTCCATATATGTTAGAGTACATAAACGTTTAGTGGCTAATGCGACAGTAACTAAAATGAGGGGTTAGAGCTGAGCACAAGTTAGCTGAACAACAAATTGTAATTTTTTTCTGACTGTGGGAGTAATTACCTTTAGCAGTTCACAGACTACCTTATACATCACATCAGTGTTTACAGTAGGCTGACAGAGCCTCTCTTTACAACAGCAACTTTCACATGCCAATGTAGAGTAAACATGGCTATAATTATTATGTCCTTTTTCCATTTCGGTAGCTCAAACAGTTGTGACACATGGGACCATAATACATCATCCATTATGACTGTGTTAACCCTGCTCTGGTGTGATGGTGAAAACTACCTCTGTAGTTTCTACCTTTCTAATAAATGGTAAAATATATATATATATACATATATTTTGTGTGTTTTTAAACCCAGACAAGATGCACAACTGACCAGCGCCACACGGCCAAATCCTCCAACTCCAAGTGTGACAGGATCTCCTTGATAGCGACCCTCCTGATAGAAGACTGGAACCAGATCCTTCAATCTCAGAGTGGAGCTGGGGCTGAGAAAGAGTGGTGATTTTATTTTATTTTTTAGATTTGTTTTCACTAATAACTGCTTAATGAGCTTATTCTGGTGACTGATTGTTGGTTTTGTAACATATTTTAACCTTCACCTTCAACAGCCACTCACCTCGACTTTTCTGGAGGTTGCGCCTCCTGCATCACTTTGGAGCTGGAAGTGAAAATAAATTTGACAGGATATGAGCAGGAAACTAACTGGGGCAGTCTATTTTATCTCCACGTCACACTCTCGGTAAGGTGGAGGAAAAAACAAATTGTGGTTATGCAATCAACAGTGCTTTTTTTTTTTTCAATACATACTCATCAAAGAGTTCCAGGTGCTCTACGGGAATTGTTTCTTCAAATACCCTAAACAAAAGGCATCATTAGTCAAGCCGTGCATCAGTACGCAAGTGGGAAAACACAACAGACAGCAAACACACTGTAAAGCCACCGAAGAATTGTCCTCTCCAGGAGCAACAGCTGTCACTGTCACTATCACATTCGGTTACTGTTGGAATTGAGTGCTGGGTCAGACTCACTCCTTGTCAATGGAGAAGCAGGTAACAGGGCCGTCGGCAGTGCAGGTTGCTGTCCTCGAGACCTCGCTGCAAGACAAAAAGCATTGCCAAAATTCAAGTCTGTGGAAATGCAGTGAATACAGCTGCAGAAAGAGAACCTCATAGAGATATTTTAATTGAATAACATATATTAGCAAATACTAATATGTAGATTAAAAAATATGCAATGTGAAAAAGTACTGCATTATTTTGAGAAAAATAATTCCCAGTGAAATTGCGATGGTGCTGCAGGTCCTGCAAATTAGAGGCAGACAACACAAGCTAGATGATATTTGATATTTATTAAAAATCCAATATCCTCCTTGTATAATCAAAACAACCTCTGTTATTCCACCAGAGGATCACACACACACACACACACACAGTGTTTCTGTATGCATGCACCTCTACTGACAGCCACAGCAATAAATTTGCTTCAATGGCTCATTTGCATCTTAGCAGAACTGCGCAATTTATGGAAAAACATGATGTTTCCGTCACCAGAGAGCATTCGGAGGATAATCTGAAGAATCTGCAGAATAAAATGTCACAGCTGACAGCAGCTGAGGAAGGCGCGAGGAGCACATCGTGCTGCACGAGGCTCTCGCAAATGTCCTCAGGCATGTGTTGTGTCTCCATGGTTACCGTATGAGGGCCTGTTCCCCGAAATGCTCCCCTTTTCCCATCCTGCGAATCTGCTTCTGATGACCGTTCACGTTCTTAGTCACCAACACCTGAAGGGGAAACACGCACAAAGGCAAACAAACGGAAAGAATAAACGTTATGCACACAAGAGAAATATGAGTTTGTGAAATAGGCTGGATAAAAACTCTGGGTGTGACTGGCCAAAGACGCACGTTAAGATATTGTTACCTCTCCTTTGAGGATGATGTAGAATGCGTTTCCTTCTGTTCCCTCTCGAACTATAACATCTTTGTCCTGGTACTTCACCTAGAAGAGACAGAATTAAAAATAATATTAAGAAAAATGTGTACTTTCAGATTCACTCCAAGAGCTAAAAGAAAACATCCTTGTGTTCAGCGTATTTGAGTCTGTTGTGTCGTAGCAAAAAAAGACATCGAGGTGCACACCTCCTCCATGGAGTCAATGATTTTGGACAACTGGACATCATTCAGGTCCTTCAGAGTGTGGGCCCTGAAATGGCAAGTGGGAATTTAAGAGAAAATTAGAAATAGGGGAAGCATTTGCTCCATTAGTGCAGCGAAAAATGCCAACACTGTTATGATAGAGTTACAAAGAGAATCTGAGGAGAGAATCTGAGGAGAATCTGAGGAGGATGAAAGTTTTATCACGGCTGCAGAGTCTAGAAACTCACGTCTTCAGGAAGCCCATGAGCTGTTCTCGTTTCTTCTTGGACTTGTTGGTCATAATGCTTCTGTAGGTCTGTCGCTCCATGCACCACAAATGCACAGGTGTCTTTGCTGCAATATGAGCGCACAATAATAGAGATAAAAATAAACAAAAATAAAAAGAGCAGTGGACTCGGTAAACTTTGAAGCATATTTTACGATTAAGACATTTGAACTCTTGGATTAATTTAACTACAACTGTAACAAAAACTGATTGAACCTTTAAAACTATTGGGGTTTGATTTGATTGAAAATTCACAAATACTGTTCAGATGTAATAGATGAAATCTGAAATAAATGACATAAAACCATAGGCAGATGCACTCCATCACCATCGCAGAACTCATATGACAAAGTGAGATAAATGAGAGACAAGCTTGCTGCAGATGGGAGAAAACTGCCTTCCCACGGGTGGATTGCATTGTAAAAGGATGTACTTGAACACACCTTTCTTACAAACCTACTGTGACTGAAAAGCTATTATTTTTTTCTGTCGCTGTAAAGTTATGTTATTGTTTTGGTTTTGTCACATTTTACATTTCATTGTCCGAAAAAGCTGCTACCTTTCATAGCACAAGGCATGTTCATTATATCAAAATGCGACTCCAAGAGTTTGTGATAAGCAGCAACATCCTCCTTCACATGTTTTCTGCATCCGTTTTGGGGATTTTGGACAACCAGTCCCAAAACCACACTAAGCCAATTTCAATCAGGATACTCTTTGGGTCCTTTCAAAATAAGAGTTTCTTCTTTTTCAGAAGTGTTATTGTTGGTCAGTTTGTTCTCCCCTCAGTGACTATAAGGTGTCCAAATACCAAAGCAAACTATGGTATTCTCCCCACCATACTCTAGAGTTAGGTTGACGTTTTGTTGTTAACATGCTGGGCAGTTTTCCTCCAATGTATTGCTATGTATTTCTGTCATAAAGTTCATCCATTATCTCATATGTAGAACATATGTGGTCCTATATTATACATACAGATATGTCTCCACATAAATTACATAATACTATATAATACAATCACTACAACCCTCTGCAAAACCCTCCAGGAGGCATCATTATACAGGCTGACCTTTGACTGTTGCTGTCCTTTTGCAGTTGTACAAAATCGCCAGCTCTCCAAAAACATCACCACTAGTTAGAGTTCGGAGGTCACGGCCAGACTGGCTCACAGAAAGCTCACCAGCTATAAAGAAAGGGGAAAAAAATGATATTAAAATTTGCTTATTTGTGAAATGATGCTGTAAGAAGTTAATAACCCAGTTTTAAAAATCTTCCGTATATACATGGAGCAATCACAGATAAAAAGACAGACATTCATACTAAGGTGTGTCCCCACCTGCCACAATGTACATGCTGTCTCCTTCAGAGCCTTCCTGAATGACTTCATCTCCAGGATTGAAGTGAGATACCTTTAACAGGTCCACCATCATGGCTATTTGCTCATCATCTAACCGGCTCAGGAAGTCATTCTTCTGGATAGCTTTGACAATTAGGCTCGTCTCACTGCCGATAGAAAGTTCAAAGAAGTCATCTACAACATACAAACTGGGTATTATATAAGTTGTTGGAAAGGTGCTGATGCTGACCTGACATTTTTCTTCACCCTCGCCCGTTTAATCTCCAGGTTCTCCGGGATTGGTTCTGAAGCTATGACAGCTGCACGGCTCTTCCTGACCTCAGGTTCAATCTCATTACCGGTCTGAGAGGGAAAGTCTGTAACAGAAACAAATGGATGGTTACAGATCGCCATTAGAAATCGCATCAATCATGTGTGTAAGTAGATAAGTAGATGTGTCCCTGTTCTGTGTTCCCGTGAAGAGCTGCTTACCGAGATCATGATACTGACTCTGCAGTTGTTGCAGGAGTTTCTCTTTCTCGGTGAGTCGTTTTTCTGTGAATGTGAAGGGAAAAAAAACACATATTAAATGTGCAAAACACGTTAAAAGTGACGATTTCTGTGCTTTGTATATAAAAGATGGATATGGGTCTGAAACATGAAGCCAACGTAAATTCTCTCTAATGGCCTGCAGGGATCCACTCCTCTGAATGCAAACGTAATGAATCACCCTAGAATGACCCTAGTTGTCTCTTGATTTATGACTTCACTAAATACCTTAATAGTGAGTTTATTTTATGAATCACTGGTTTCGAGTCTTTGAGCCACATACTGATGTCACTTTTGTCAATTAAGATCACAATCAAAGACAAATAACATAAAGCATGCATTGTGCATGGATACATTTATGACTGACAAGTCATAAAGTTATGCAATGTCATCCATTCATGAGTATATAATGTCATCCATTTATCAGCCTGATCCATCTCTCATTGTGGTTTAAGCCCATAAACCGATGATGGACTGCATGGTTTTCTACATGTGTACTCTGTGTTTTATGTACAGTGGGGCCATGCTAATAACTGATCCATGCTAATAACTGATCCATGCTAATAACTGATCCATGCTAATAACTGATCTCTGGCCATGATCAGAAAAAAAAAGTCTAACATTTTAGTTGCATCCCTCCAACATTTTACACTCATCAATCACATAATTAGGTACATGTTGCTAGTACTGGGTTGGATCAGAGCTGTCTTAATTCTTCATTACATAGATTCATCATGGTGCTGGAAACAATCCTCAGAGACTTTGTTCCATATTGACCTGACAGCATCACATGATTTTGTCACATGTCATCCATGGCATGATTTTCACCACATCCCAAGGTGACATTTCAGTACAGTGAAACTCTCATGTTCAAGTAACCAGTTTGAGATCACATTAGCCACCAGAGGATGGACATGTGGTCATAACAGGATGGACATAGTCAGCAAGCAATGCACATCTAATACTAAGGCACCCAAAGTGTGCCAAGAAAATATCTCCCATGCCATTACACCATCATCACCAGATCATGGATCCATGGTTTGATGTTGATGTGAAATGTTGACCATCTACCATCCAAAACAAGCAGCAAAAGTGGAGACTCATCAGACCAGGGAATCTTCTCTAATCCAGTTTCTGTGAGCACATGAAGTTTCCTGTTCAAACTGCTTCAGCCGTTTGTCTTGACCATGTCTACCTGTCTAAGTTCCACTGATTTCACATCTTCAATTCAATTCAATTCAATTTTATTTATATAGCGCCAAATCACAACAAAAGTCGCCTCAAGGCGCTTCATAGATACAGAGAAAAACCCAACAATCATATGACCCCCTATGAGCAAGCACTTTGGCGACAGTGGGAAGGAAAAACTCCCTTTTAACAGGAAGAAACCTCCGGCAGAACCAGGCTCCGGGAGGGGCGGCCATCTGCTGCGACCGGTTGGGGTGAGAGAAGGAAGACAGGATAAAAGATCTTAAGTAAAGTAAAAGTCCTGTCAAGGCCTCATTCTGGTTCTCTAAATTTGAACTCAACCTTCAGAACTTTAAGAGCTCCACCTTTAATTCATGTATTCATATATATCCCAATATTCACCTCAATGAACCTGCTATTGCACAATGACATCGCTACAATATTTAAAGCTTATATAGTTATTGTTGTACTCACCTAGGTCCTTATTTTGCCTCTGCAGCTCCTTGTTGATCAGACATTGCTTTTCTAGCTGCTGCTTCAGCTCCTCTATTTGCTTCTCCATAGCTACAGATTTTTTAAAAAGAAAGATTTATGGGAGAATTTCATATTACAGGAAAACGAGAAGTTGTATAAATTATGCACCTGAACACAGACATAAAATGTAGCCCCAGTTGTTGTGATATTTGTGGAAACTCCTACACACAAAGCCATAAAGGGTGATATTTAAACTGTAACTGTGTTGATACCTTTTTCTCAAAGCACTGAACCCTACTTCACTGGCAGCGCACAGCAAGAGCCTTGCTGAATAATGCAGACTAATGATGGACAGTCAACGGGGTGCTTTCTGAGTGCTGTCACACCCTACCAGCATTTGCTGAAGATCTGTTACAGTTTCTGTGACTGATAATGACACAAAACCTGTCAAAGCTGTATAAAAACCCCTTAAATGATAGATCGCTTTTTCCAGGCTTTGCGTTTATATGCAGATTATTTATATTTGCTGGTTGTGGGTTGTTACACTAATGTGAGGCATAAAAAAAACCCTCTGTGACTATGCATAAGCAGGTCATATTAACTGACAGATTCATTAGCACTGCTGCATGAGATTAACAATGAAGTTAACCACAAGTCAGATCCAACACCTCTCTTAATCGAGGTGACCTGTTTGAAGAATCTCTGCAAACAAGATTCCTTTTCTTTTTTCTTTTTTTTAACACTCCAATCAATACAAACACACTTGGATATGTGACCATTTTACTAAACACACAGTAAAAACCCAGCTGGAGAGGGTGTTTGCCTGTGTTCACGGCACACATCGTATGACCCCAGGTTACTGCTGCCTCACCCTGAACATTGGACAGGCCTAAGATTAAACTAAACTCATAAAGTCATTTTGTAAAACACCAGCAGGGAAATATAAACAGCTCCTCTTCTGCAAGGGAGCATGGGCACTTAAAAAAGACATGTACAGCGGCCTAAACTAGATATTTTTCCAGGGATTTCAGTACAGAAAGCGACGTGACTGCAGTGCACAGAGCTCATAAATGTGTTAAAGAAAAGAAAAAGATGGTCAGTTTACACAGATCATTAAAATATGTCCCTACATGCTTACTTGAATATCAGATTTGCCTCAGGGTGGTTCGTTAAATTGTCACCAAAGCACACACTAAGACAGAGCCGTGCACAAACACAATTTGTAAACTTTCTAGGAACTTGTAGCTGTTGAGAAAGACAATCTGAGCTGATTGAGATGATAACCTTTAATGCCTGCAGGTTGACACTCAATGGTCAGTTATTCTTCAGCCCTGGGGCAACTGATAGGTAGGTGGCTGTATTTCTGTTTGAATATTTGCTGTTTCACTGGTGCATGTTTGTTATTTTTGTTACAATGGTAAAAAATAAAATAAAATAAAAAAAAACAAAAAAACAAAACAGGTTATTATTTAAATACTGAATGAACTTTAAAAGTGAGCAACATTCATTTAACATGCGTATATTCATATATCTGGTAAATGATCCTGGAGGATCCCAGGAAACATGATATTAAAGCAGACAACGCCAAAAAAAGGAGAGAAAAAAAGAAAGAAAAACAGATATTTGTGTCTGCTTTTCAGCTGCACAGCAGGAACATGATGCCAGCTACCATTATACTGACACAGCCAGCATACAGTCCACTTCATACTGCTTCATTATTAATTCATGGCCATGTGTAACTACAGCTGAATTCTCATAAGATACTCTGTAATAGAAACCTGGAAGGAAGTCATGTGCTTTGTCTTTATTAGGCAGCCTTTTCTCAGATATGACGTTTTGTTAATCGCTGTAGTAAATCAAAAAATAATAAAACTTAAGCTGAACACAGCGGTAATATATTTAAAGAACCGATAAACGCCTGAAGGCGGCCTGTCTGACCTAATCTACAACTCTGAGACACTGTTTGCACGTAATCTGTGGACGAATAGACTGAAGCCACACTCACCTGCAGGCATGGTGTGATCAGCAGACAAGGTGATCTAATGTCCTGCCTATGAAGGCCGCATGGATCACAGGAGCCAAATAATCACCTTGAGCTGCTCAACGATATCCACTTTTCCACTGCAGAGAAGTTTTTGGCTTTCTGTGCAGTTTTTCTGACCTGCTTGAACCCCAGATGAGCTACAGACTGGACACACCTGAGCAGACACACCGCATGCAGCCTGCAAACTCTCTATCAATACTCTACTACTCTTCTACTTTTCTTGCCACTGCATACTTTCTCAGCTTACATTTCCCCGTCTACAGCTTTACTATTTTTACTTCTCTCCAGCTCTCTCTCTCGCTCTCTCTCACTAAATCTTTCCTTCTTTTTCTGTATCTATCAATCTCCACGGCTCTGGTGTTGAATCATTAACCATAACCTGAGGCTCCTCCTATCACACCAGGTAGAGGAATACAGGCAGCAGGAGCACAAGAAGGAGAAGAAGAGGAGGAGGAGGAGGAGGGAGGAGGAGGATGAGCTGGAGAGAAAGCTGGGCTGTAAAAATTATGCTCAGTTGAGAAAACACACAGCTAAAGTGTGATGTTGCAGCACGTTATTCATCCCGAAAGAACACATCGGGCAAGTAGAAGAAAAGCGTACCAGGGTGCTTCTTTTATACCTCATTCACATTATTTTGTTACCTTAAAAAAAAAAACAGGAACTGATTTGTGATTACTGTGACGTTTATTAGCAATAATTGTTTCTCGCTGACGCAGATGACAGAGAAGTGAGGAAATTAAAGTGGGAGCACAAGCAAACAAGTCACTGCAAAAGCTGCCACAAAGCTGAAGTAGAAGCATAAAAGCTGCACAAGTCCTCACTCTTCTACCTTCACATTTTTGTCTTTAGAAAGAAAAAATGTGCTCGCAACAAGCACCTTTCTTCCAAATGGCTGCATTCACATAAGAGCTGGGGTAGTGTGGAACTATTTTAGGGTAGATTTTATCTGCCAGATTTGGAAAGCGGCTACTCCTTCAGGTTCCTGTTTTTCCACAGAGTAAATTCCACTGGATGTTTTCTAGGCCACAAATGACTCTAAATGAGGTTAGAGGGTTAGCATTGTGACAAAGGGCGTGGGCCTTTATTGTTCACAGTTAATTATTGATATCTTCCTGGTTAATCTGCGACATTAATGACTCGAGCGCTCAGAGATTAAAGGCCTTGGATTTCAGCGGTGCAAGTGAAGGGTAACTCAGTGACAGGCAGCATATGGTGTGATGGCATGCCACACATGGTAAGCTCCACACCTCACCACCAGTTGATTCACCTTAGTTTAATTTACAGTCACTACTTTAAAATATTCTACTTACTGTTCAATATTGTTTCTTTATTAAATTTATTTATTTTTCCATGACACCTTCCAATGTTTATATGGCGTGCACACATATTAACCTTGCAAGGTCAAAGTTCTGTTTTATGTTATATTAATACATCTTTCTTTGTTTGAGTTACCTGGGGGTTGGCTTCTCCTCCTGTCTGGCAAAAGGTGTGGCAAAGGGCTGGGAGACCTGAAGTACCACTGACAGCCTAATTGGATAGCACCACATGCTTCATTGCCTGGGGGGTGTTTCATGTTTGTTTAATTGTTTTGTATTTGTTGGTTATATGGCAGCCATCGTGTTTTCCCCCGTGTGTGTCATTTTGTTTAGCTAAGCCAGTATTTTCAGCAGGTCAGTTTATCATATGTTTGTTTGAGGTTTTGTTAATTATTATCTTGAGTTTAGTCTATTGAGTTGACCTCTTTTATTGGTCTGCCTGTTTAAGTTTTGGCTTTGTTAACTATATTTTCATATTTTTGGGTCAATAAAACCCCTTTTTTTGAATTAAAACCACCTGTGTCCTTTATGCTTTACTGCTTGTTCCCTGACATATGGGTTATAACATTTTTCCACTACAGGTCAAACCTGGTGATACGTGCTATAACAAAATAAACCTGCTGCGACTTGCTATCGATCGCAGTGAACGGCCACTTGAAGCTTCCAGACAAACTCAAGATGTAAAAATCACCAGTCGATCTTTATCACCCTTTAATTGTAGTGTAATTACAAGATACACCATCGAACATACAATGCCCAAATATTGCACCATTACATGATATTGCAATAACACCGTGATTGTCTTTACAGCCCACAAATAAAGTTTAAAAATAAGGCGTGAGTTTAAAAAAAAAAAAAAGATATTAAAAGGCAGGTGAATGTGGTAAACATGCAAATAGTTGATGGATTCGTGACATTCATGAAAAGCCTCTTTAACTTCTGAAAAAGCTAAATTAAATTCTCATCCACCCTCACGCTGACAATTAAAAGCCACCAATTAGCACCATTATCACCTATTTTCTTCATGCCGATGATTGAAAACACTTCATTTTATAGCCAGCAGTGGCTTCAGTCAAAAATGGCATGAATCCTACACTAATACCACCTAGCACAGTAAAGCTACATATTAATCAGTGCACTGTTGGTAATACAAAAACAAAGCTGATGTACTGTCTACTGATAATAAAAATACATTCAGTACATGTACATGCTGATCTGGTCCTTGTGTGATGCTTACGATACTTAATTACACTTTATAGCAGCAGATACTGAAGCACCACACAGGGCGTTAATGGTCTTTACCCAGTGTCGGCTCATTTACCACTGGGGTCGTTTACTGTACAGCATGCAGGGTATAAACACAGGAAAGTTTCATCCTTTAAGGCATGCCACAAACCCCGAGGAAAACACTTCTTGAAGGCTCAAAACTAAATAAGCATTTGATGCAAAAGGGAAAAAACATAATTAGCAAGAAGAAAACAACAATAATGCTATTTTTAATTTTAATAACCAACTCTTCACTTTTTTTAAATAGCAACAAGCAGAGCACTTGAACTCTACAGTGCAGTCTACATACTACATACTACAGGTGTGCGGTGCACGGACGGACTTTGTGACTGAAAGTAGGTAGCAATCAATTGACCAACAATATTTTCAAATTGACTAAAATGTATTAAATACTTCAAAATAGCTTTAGTGATTCACTTCACTGTCATTTTTCTATTTCTACATGACTTGAACATGAACCTGAGGTCATGAGGTAGATGAGCAGAGTTGCAGCTGCAAATCTTGTATTACTTCAGTGTAAGTGCCTTCATATTGCTCGTTAGTCCTTCATCTGCTCCTCTCTGATACCACAGGCTTGCTTCATTTCCTCCCGGTGTTCAAAGACTGCGTGCACAAACTGGCCAAACAAGCGCTCCATGTAGCTCTCGCCTAGAGGAAAAAAACCCTGCAAGAAGGCAATGTGTCCCCCGTGGGCCGTCAATACCAGGGCAACGTTAGGAAGATCCTGAACTACGGACACCGGGAAGGCTGTGAAAGCAGGAAAGAAAAAGTCCAAATGAATATAAACAGACAGCAGAGTAGACACAAAGCAGACACGTGAACTGGAAACCTTTTGTAACCCGGAGACTTCAACGTCCATGATTACATATAAAAAAGGAATTGTGCTAAAAAGAATGAGACATTTCTTAATATAATAGAGATAAATTCAATCATCTGTTTTGACGTCGCTTCAGTCCATCTTAAATGAGCTCACACACAAAGATGAAAAGGTTTGAGAGAGTGTTATCTTGCATGTGTGGATGCAGTATTGAACTGTATTCACTTACATATGTTTTCAGTAGTGTTCCTAAATCTGTGGCAATGAACCCACTAGGACCTAAGGGCCTTAAGATATCAGCCTTGGTTTTTAGCTTTGTCACTTGCATACAGAGAGTTTGCTTGATTCTCTGAAATTCCAAGATCATTTGCAGCTTTATTTTGAGAAACTTTACTGTCAACTATTTTTTCGTGTAGTCTTTAACAGAGTAGTAAACGCTGCCCCACCTTTACTTCTGAGAAACCTAGACACCCTTGGATGCTCTATTTATACCCAACTGTGTTACTAATGTCCCACCAGGTGTTTTCTTTAGCAGTACACTTTTAATATGATGGCTTGTACAACTTTCAGTAAAGCATTCAATTTTACACAATGTTCCCAACTTGTTTTTTTCGAATAGGACCATAAAATCAGAAAAA